TTATTTGCAGATGACATAATATTCTATAGAGAAGATCCCAAAACCCCCACCAAAAGACTTCTAGATTTAATAACCAAATTCAGTAGCATAGTCCTATACAAAGCCAACACTCAAAAATCAATAGCTTTCCTGGACATAAATAATAAACTCACTGACAGAGAAATTAGGGCAAAAACAACTTTCATAATAGCATAAACAATGAAATACTTAGGATCAAAACACCAAAGGAAGTGGAAGATCTTTACATTGAAAATTAAAGTATTCTGAAAAAGGAGATCAAAGAGACTGTTAGAAAATGAAAAGATATCCCTTGCTTTTGTGTAGGAAGAATCAACAGTGAAAATGGCCATACTCCCAAAATTGTTAAACAGATTTAATGCAATCCCAATTGAAATACCATTAACATACCTTACAGAACTAAAGAAAACATTCCTAAGATTCATTTGGAACCAGAAGAAACCTAGAATAACAAAAACAGTTCTGGGCTACAAAGGCAAGCCAGGGCGCATCACAATCCCTGACTTGAAATTATACTACAGAGCTACTGTGATAAAAACACCATGGTACTGGGAAAAAATACAGACTTGAGGATCAATGGAACAGATTAAAAAATGAAGAAACAGCACCAAACATATTAGCCACCTTATCTTTGACAAAGGCGCCAAACACATTCACTGGAAGAAAGATAGCCTCTTTAATAAATGATGCTGGAAAAACTGGCTTTCTACATGCCAAAGTCTAAAATTAGACCATGCACTAAACTAAAATAAAAATGGATCAAAGATCTAAATATTAAAACAGAAACACTAAATCTGCTGGAAGAGAGAAAAGTTGGAACTCTTGAGGAAAAAGGTGAGGGCAAAGACTTTATGAATAAAACCTAGATTGCATACCACAAAGAATCAACAACTGGGATCTCATCTTATTAAAAAGCTTTTGCACAGCTAAAGAAGTCACCAACAATTGAAACACGACACACAGAGTGGGAAAAAAATTTGGCCAGTGGTTTCTTAGACAAAGGATTAATATATAGAACATACAAAGAACTGAAAAAAATCAGACCCCCAAAATTTAAAGACCCAGTCCAAAAATAGGCATCTGAAATGAAGACACTTCTCAGATTAAGAAGTACAAATGGCAAATAAATATATAAAAAATATGTTCAACATCACCGGTCATTTGAGGTGCAAATTAAAAAAAAAACAATTCTGAAATTTCATTTTATTCCAGAAAGAATGGCTGCTATCAAAAAATCAACCAACTACAACTGCTAGCAGGGCTTTGGGGTAAAAGGAACACTTCTCCACTGCTGGTGGGAGTGTAGACTGGTACAACCACTGTGGAAATCAATGTGGAGATTTCTCAAAAAAGTAGGATTAGAGTTCCAATTTGACCCAGCTAGTCCCCTTCTGGGTATCTTCCCAAAAGGATTAAAAGCATCATACCACAGTGATATATGCACACTAATGTTTATAGCAGCACAGTTTGTAACAGGTAAATCTTGGAAACAGCCCAAATTCCCATCAACCAATGAATGGGTAAAAAAGATGTAGGTTTTAAAAAAATATATAATGGAGTATTAATCAGCCATAAAGAAGGATAAACTTGAGACATTTCCTTAGAAATGGATGCACCTTGAGACCATACTCTTAAGTGAAATAAACAGACACAAATGTGTAAATGTCACATTGTCTCTCTGGTGTGAGGAACTGAAAGTGTAAATAAGGACCAAAATGCATCATAGATATTGTGAAATAGGAAGAAATTGTTCAAAATAATACCAAGTGTCAGATACTTTGTTAATAATTAAAATTTTTTATGCAAAAAAATATAGGCGATGAGTTGAGAGATAGGAGGTGAGTTTAGAGATAGATCAGCAATTGAAAATATATTCTTTTATGATCATGATACATAGTGTATTTACCATTATTATTCTCTAATTATTTTGTTTTGACATTTTATTTTTTCATAGAAGTGTTTTTATATTTTCTTTATTAATACCTAGTTGTATTACATTAAAAAAAAATAGGTTTTTTAAAAGTATTGTGTCAGGGACCGGGGATTTAGCTCAGTGGTTTTGCTGCCTGCTGCACAAGCGCAAGGACCCGAGTTCAATCCCCGGTACCAAAAAAAAAAGAAAAAGTATTGTGTCAGCTGGTCATGGAGAGGAGGTATTGGTTATTATAAAAAACTAAGACACAAGGAAAAATACACATAATTAACTGTATATATAAGTCAGAGTGAGTCACTTATTTTTTGTGAACTTCATGTCCTAGTCGACAAAATGAAAATATTAAACCAGATTTCTCAGTTCCCATTCAGTTGTCCAAGGATATAGGACATTGTGTTCTGTGTTGCATAAAATGATTTAAAATTGTAGAGTCCCGTTTAGGTACAATAAGACCAAGAGAGCTTACTAATGAGCACATGAGATTAATTTCTACTAAGGATAATGGAATCTATGCTCATTTATTTGGTAGTTTGTCTTTTTAACTTATTCTTGAAAGGTTAGTGCCTCCCGTAAAACAAACGAAAGCACTAGTCAATAAAGCTCAGAATCTTTGCATTTACAAAGTGTTAAGTCCCCCAGGGTGACATCACTTGATTTCTGTGTACCTTGTGACTGTTCTGAGCTCCAACCAGGAGACTCAGTGGCTTGTGTTTCCAGTCTCTTCCCTTTTGAGATGACCCAACACATGTAGAAAGATTTTCCTCCATGCTGGAAGTGTTTCCAAATGTGAATGGTTCTTATGTATTTCAAATAGAGTAATGAAAATTGATTTTGACCTTTGGAGTCAAGCAGATCCAGGTTTGAATCCCCAAAATGCAGATGACCAGCTATACAACCTCTCAGAACTTCAGGTTTTAAAATATGTATATAGATAATACAAATTTGATGCAATTTTTCTGAGATAATTTATGTGGGGCATATATCCAACATGCAAAGCACTTAAAGAGCGGCAGCTGGGTTTATCTGTCATTTGTTTTAAAAGAAAGAACCCTTTGGGTTGTGACAAACAGCAAAATCTTTTGTTTAGTGAAAAGATAGAAAGCAACCTGAACCTCAAATTTTTGAGTCAAAGGAGAAGTGGGATAACATGCTCCAGCCAAGATGAATAATGAAAGAAAGGCAAACAGGTGGTAGGTAGAATGATGTCTTGTCAGGAAGGAGACTACCGTGGTTTTAGTAAAGTTTCATATAGGGACAGCAGAAGAGAAAGCAGTGTTGGGCCCTATGACTGGAATTTTCCATCCTATCTCATTTATAGCTCATAACAGTCCTATAAGGAAAAGTATCATTAGCTCCACTTTGCAGATAATGAAACAATTATGGAGATTAAATAAGTTTTAAAAGTCTGAATCCATACAGCTGGTCCATGGCATAGACTTCAAAAGTCCATTTTCTTTCTTTTTTTTTTAAATTCTTTTATTGGTACATTTTAGGTATACAACACATTTACATTTCTCATTGGGAACTTGTAGCTTTACATGATGTATCTTGGTTGTTATTTTTTCCCCATTCCTAGCCCTTCCTTCACCCCTTCCACCCTTCACTATTTACAAAGACTTTGTTTCCAGTTTTTCCATTTCTCATAATTTTTCCTTTCCCTTCTTTCCTTTCCCCTGCCCCTCCCACTACCCCTAACCCTTTGGACCTTTTCTTCCTATTTCTCATTATCAATTATTCATTCTAAACATTGGTACATTTTAGGTACACAATATAATGACATTCATCATTGGAAATTTGCACCTTTACATAGTCTCTCTTGGTTCTTATTTTTCATCCTTCCCCTGCCCTCCCTTCAACCCCTCCATCCCTCCCTATTTACAAAGACTTTGTTTCCATTTTTCCATTTTCTCATATTAATTCCATTCCCTTCTTTCCTTCCCACTTCCCCTTCCCCTTTGCCCCTTTTCTTCCTATTTCACATTATCTAATATACCTTTTAGTCCTTATTTACACTTTCAGTTTCTCACACTAGAGAAACTATTCGGTATTTATACATGTCTGTCCTATTTATTTCACTTAAGAGTATCGCCTCAATGTCCAGCCATTTAGCTATAAATGTCTCTAATTGCTCATTTTTTATGGCTGAGTAGTACTCCATTTTATTTTTAAAAACACATTTTCTTTATCCAGTCTCCAGTTGATGAGCAATTGGGCTGTTTGCAAGTTTTAGCTATTACAAATAGTGCTGCTGTGAACATGGGTGCACATATATCACTGTGGTATGATTCTTTTAATTCTTTGGGGAAGATCCCCAGCAAGGGAATATCTGGGTCAAATGGGACTTCCAGTCCTAGTTCTTTGAGGTATCTACCATCCTGCCTCCCTCAGTGGCACTGCACTGTTGGACAATATTCTTTGTACTTTATTCAGGTCAGTATTTTAGACTGATGCAAGACAATGGTTTATTCTAAGATCTAGTTCTCCAAATTTCATTAGACTAAATAGTTACAATTTTCCCACGATGATGGGGCTGCTAAAGGGCAGGATTTGTTTGTTTATTTGTTTGTATTTTGTCTCAAAATTCAATTATCTTTTTTTCCAATTAAGTTTATGGATACATTTTAGGTATACAATAGAGTTACATTCATCATTGGGATCTTGTACCTTTACATGATGTATCTTGGTTCTTATTTTTTCCCCATTTCCCTGCCTTCCCTTCACCCCCCCCACCCTTCCCTATTTACAAAGACTTTGTTTCCATTTTTTTCCTTTTCTCAAATAAGGATTAAAATGTATAATTGATATTGTGAAATAGGAAGAAAAGGTCTAAAGGAGTAGGGGAAGCAGGAGGGGTAGGGGAAAGGAAAGAAGGGTTAAGAAAAAATATGAGAAAAGGAAAAATCAATTGTCTTTTTGCTAAGCAGAGGTAAATATTTAAAATATTGAAGACTTTGTCACATAATCAATGACTTGATCACAATATTGTTGTAAACAGTGAATTCTTCCAGTCACGATACATAATCTATTTTGTAACAGTGAGCATACTTACATTTTTAAGAATGTAATGAGGGCTGGGGGTGTACTTGAGAAGTAGAGACTAGCTAGCATACAGGAGGCCTTGAGTTCAATCCCCAGTACTGCAAAAAGAAGAAAAAAGAATGCAATAATCACTTAATAATGTGTTTGTGTTACAAAAAAATGTTTAAATTACATGCAAACTTACAAAAACAAGTTTACAAAGACAAGTAAATTTATAGAGCGATCTGGCCATAAATCCAGCACAAAAGCTATTTTGAAATGTTTCCCAACATTGGAAATGTAAATTTAGTTCTTTTTTTCAGAATAAAAAAGTTAATTTTCTCAAATGCAGAAGTTAAAGTGATACTTCCCTGAACTTTTGCCCCTCTCTGTTCAGATTTCAGTATGACTGACCCTGAGCAATGTAACCTGACTGTCAATGAGAATCATTTCTATCACATTATTTTTAATCAAGGAAACTTATTTCCAAAGACATTGCTTTGTATTAACAGCTTTACCAAAGACTGGAGCCAAAAGCACTTGCGAAGCTGCAGAACGTCCACTGTAATAAAACTGGCCATTCACACTGTGTTCAAGGTTGAGTGCAGCTTCTCAGGGTCTATATTTTGCTACTTTCCCTTCAGGATATGGGAAACAAATTGGCCTAAGACAAGTTAGATGTTTTCAATATTAAAATCAGGGACAAACAGGTTTTGAGTATATAGGTTTCCTCAAGAGGCTCTTTTGCTCAAGTGGTTAAGAACTGCTGAAAGCTCCATAGAAACTGAACCTGTTGTTAGGAGTTAAAAGATAACATAAATAAGTGGAAGGTGAAATGCAGCCCTACAAATCATCAGCATCTTGCTGTGGATCTAAGCAAAAAGGAAGTGACTATGGTATAGAACAATCATCATTAATGCATGACCATTCCCCAGGCTTCCCTTCCAAGTAAACTTAAAGGGTATCTGTCCCTCTCCGCCCAATTCTTTCCCTACCTTCTCAGAAAGATCATTTTTGCCAAGAGGCTTCTCTTGGACTTCATACTGCAATGATCAGATAGGAATGGGGTTGTGTTGGGTAGTAGTTAGAATATATAAGCTAAGGTTGGGCAAAAATTCCTTAGGGTATTTTAGGGAACTCAAAAAAGAAGGCAGTTGGTATTTGTGAGGAGAAGTAGGAGAAAGATAAAACGCAATGTTCAGAGTTACTCCTAGCTGATTTATGGGTGTTGAGGAATCCATTTATGAATCAGAGTGTCTTTAAAATGTTTGCCTTGGTTTCTGAATCATGCTCCTTTGGCCATATTGCCACTCTGAGAATGAATCAGGAGAATGTGGCCCTTTTTAGCTGCCCAGAAATTCAACTAAGGAAGTTTTAAAAATTAACACCTAGTAAAGTTTAATGTATTGGTCAGGGTCTCTGAGCTGGACATTTTTAGTGCACAATATCAGAAAAGGTCATATAAAGAAGTTAGCAAGGACTAATTCGTTCATGTTCAATGCCATAGATTCATGGGAAGATTGTACTTCATTCCTTTGGGGTGATCAGGGTTACATAATTGGGTAAGAGTTCCACAGTATGAGACCATCATGGTGAGACTTAGGAGGAGAGAAATGGAACTCCCCAGGAGGAAAAAATGACACATCACACTGAGAGCTTTAACAAGCATGCTTCATATTAAAGCAGAAAAGTTTCTGGTCAGAGTTCCAGCTTGTAGGATTGAGTGGAGTTTGGAGCCTTATACAGTCAAGGCCCCATCTTATCAATAGATAACAGCTATTAGGTGAAATTTTATCAGTTATGAAAAACACATAGGATAAAGTTGTGCTGTTTGGGTTATATTTCTAAAATACTGGGTATGTTAAGTTTGGAGCTAGTGGTATTCAAGACTAACAGACTTCAATCTGCAGTAAAGAAATAACCTAGAAACCAAAACACAAAGACTATTTATGTAAAAACTAATGACCCGACTTAAAAATATGAGCAATTTGGAGCAAAAGCATATCTGGGCGAGGTCCAGAGTCCTGCGGAAGACACCGAATCACCCCGCTGCAGACAAGCAGGTCTGCCCACGCCCTACAGAGGTCCTGAGTAGCACGGAACACGCCGAATCACCCCGCTGCAGACAGGCAGCCACCTGGTTCCACACTACAAAGACACAGAGGACACCAGAACACCAGACCACTGTACTGAGTCCTGCTGCTCCCAGCCCAGAGGTGGGGGCTTCTGAGCCACTGTCCCACTGCTCCTGGTCCAGAGGAAGGGGTTTCCTGGCCACCATCCCTCCTGCTGCTCCCAGCCCAGAAGAAAGGGCTTTTGGGTCACCATCCCTACCGCTGCTCTGGGCCCCGGTCCCACCTCTCCTAGCTCAGAGGAGGTAATCCGTGCAGGCACTAACAGCCCCCCACCACAGTCAAAATGAGAAAACATGTAAATAAGTCTCAAAACCAGACTTCCAGATCACCTACAGCAACCCCAAAGGGAAATG